GAGAGAGAGAGAGAGAGAGAGAGAGAGAGAGAGAGAGAAGAGAAGAGGAGAAAGAGACAGAGAAGGGGGGAAGCAGAGAAGGGGGGAGAGAGGAAGATGGAAAAGAGAGCGAGCTCCGGTCGGAAGCTGGAGATCAGATGGGGGAGGGAGCGGAGTGGGAGTGGGCGTGGCTTGTCCCTTAAAGGGACAGGAAAGCACAACATCTATCACCATGCATAAAACTCAAGTCCAAATGGATCAAAGACCTCAACATAAAGCCAGCCACACTGAACCTTATAGAAGAGAAAGTGGGAAGTACACTTGAACGCATTGGCACAGGAAACCACTTCCTAAATATAACCCCAGCAGCACAGACACAGAGAGAAACAATACATGGGACCTCCTGAAACTGAGAAGCTTCTATAAAGCAAAGGATATGGTCAACAAGACAAAACAACAGCCTACAGAACGGGAAAAGATCTTCACTAACCCCACATCAGACAGAGGTCTGATCTCCAAAATATACAAAGAACTCAAGAAATTGGACACCAAAAGATCACATAATCCAATAAAAAAAAATGGAGTACAGACCTAAACAGAACTCTCAACAGAGGAATCTAAAATGGCTGAAAGACACTTAAGGAAATGTTCAACATCCTTAGTCATCAGAGAAATGCAAATCAAAACAACTCTGAGATTCCATCTTATACCTGAAAGAATTGCCAAGATCAAAAACACTGATGACAGCTTATGATGGAGAGGTTGTGGGGAAAAGGAACACTTCTGCATTGATGTTGGGAATGTGATTTCTCAGAAAATTAGGAAACAACCTCCCTCAAGACCCAGTAATACCACTTTTAGGTATATATCCAAAGGATACTCAATCGTACCACAAGGACATGTGCTCAGCTATGTTCATAGCAGCCTTGTTTGTCACAGCCAGAACCTGGATACAGCCTAAATGCCCCTCGATCGAAGAATGGATAAGAAAATTGTGGTCCATTTACACAATGGAGTACTACACAGAAGAAAAAAAAATAATGACAGCTTGAATTTTGCAGGAAAATGGATGGAGCTAGAAAACATTATTTTGAGTGAGGTAACCCAGACACAGAAAGACAATTATCACATGTACTCACTCATAGGTGGTTTTTAAAGCCAGCCTACAAACCACAATCCCAGAGAACTTAGACAACAATGAGGACACTAAGAGAGACTTACATAAATCTAATCTACATGAGAAGTAGAAAGTAGAAAAAGACAAGATCTCCTGAGTAAATTGGGAGCATGGGGACCTTGGGGGAGAATTGAAGCAGGGAGGGGAGAGGCAGGGAGGGAAGCAGAGAAAAATGTAGAGCTCAATAAATATCAATTAAAAAAAAAAGAATTGAAGCTGAAAGAAAAAAGGCACTTAGGTGCCGAACAGTATGCCCAAACGCCCTCCTTGGAAGACCAGTCTTTACAGTTGTAAATGATAGAAACTGACATCTATTTTTCTCAAGATACTATTGTTACATTTTCTGTATCACCAGTGGCTAAAATGATTTTTTTCGTTGACTTAACCAAATAAATAAAAAAGTACAAAAAAATTTTCATCTTATCATGAGTCAGAACAACATCCGGAACAAATTTGCAGTTTGCTAAAAGAGTTGGACCTAAGTCTCATTGAGAGCTCTCATCTTCTGCTGCACCCCAAACTTGGCAAATAACCTAATGACCGTTTGTGCCTGACTCAGGTTCCTGGGAAACAGATTCCGAGCAACCCAGACTCCTCAATCCCCACACAGAAATGTGCAGCGTGACTTCCTGCTTTGTTATGATATGATTAAGTACTGATTTTGGCATCTGTAACCCGCTTAGCAGATATTCAAGGGCTATTTTAGGGTCACCTGACTGCCTAAGCTTGGCAGGGCAGAACAGCTCTCTCTAGTTCCTGTCTCTTGCTTGCCGCAGATCATCAAGGACTTCTTGCAGTTGTTCACCCTTCAAAGCCCTTCTTGCACCCGCCTCTAGGCCGCGCATCTCTGATTCAGTTGGAGACAGCTGCCCTGCTAGGAGCTTTCATAAATTTGACTATAATCTGAATTGAGTCTGAGGGTCTTTCTTTTCCCGGTGGTCCTGAATGCTATAACAATGGAATAACCTTAATTACCTGTCCACGTGTTGTGAAACTGTAAAGTTCTTGTCTGCCATTGGTTCTAGGAAGGCTTTATAGGTGCTTGGGTTTTTTGTTTGTTTGTTTTGTTTTGTTTTTTAAGTACTTTTATATTTTCCCCTCCTTGGTCCCCCGAGAGTCTAACAGTTACATTCCAGCAGGAGATGGTCACGATAATAAAGTTTACAGTCACCTCAGATGGTAAACTTAGAACTTAGTGATAAAGGCAGAAGGGAAGATGCAGTGTGCCAATAATTCTCATATGTTAACTCTGCAGCTACAACTTAGAATACAAAAGACACCTGCTCCCCTGAAGAACTGGGAGTCAACAAACAGCTGCTTTTGCCTAGGGGGCAGAAGAGTAAGAAGAGAGAAAGAGATGATGTTCAATAGTACACCGTGGGCAGGAGACTTGCAACCTGGACCAGCGATGGCAGGCTGGAGCATTATGTTCCATAGAGGTGAGATATGGGGAAGGGGCCATGTACCTGGGTGATGCTAAGGTCTTCATTGGCCACCTCAGGAAGGGGAAGCATCTCTGACAAAAGGGGGCTGCTTTTATTTGTTTCTTGAGTTACCTAATATGAATGTCCCAAGCAAGTGTGAGAGAGTGTGTATATGTGGACAGGGTGAGGGGACAGTTGGGAAGAGTTCTGTGGTGGGGAGGAGGGAGACCAGGAAGAGGGAAAGTCATAGATGAGGAGGAGGGAGCAGAGCTGCCAGTAGAGGGGTGGATGGTATTGGACAAGGTGGAATGTGCCCAAAGGAAGAGTCATCAGGGACGTCATGTTGGGCTGAATTTGAGAAGGATGGGTGAGTATCAGAATCCAGCCAAGCATAAATGGCATTCCTATCAAAAATGAGGGTCTGAAGATCAAATTTAGATCCGTTATTGAGAATATATCCCAGAGGTGAGTTGGAGGGATGGAGAACAGGATCCATGAACATTCGCCTAAGAGGCATCCCTAGAAGGCCATGGGTACCCCCTCCTGATGCTTTCCGCGGTGAGACGCTGTCCCAGTGCACTGACTTGGCTGAGATGTGACTTGGACTAGGGTGTCTTCTGAAAACAAGGACTCTCAGCCCACAGAAGTAAAGCAATTTCTTTCCTGAGCCGTATTCGTCCTATTGGGTATGATCCCTCAAAGGGAGACTCATAACTCCAAAGTACCATGTAAGCCACCTGCAGGAGAGCTGCCTGCAGCTTTGCCTCCAAGTGCCCCTCCCTCCTCTGGCCTGGCCTGAAGGCGCCGCGTCTGCCACAACACATTTCACCAGCTGCTCCTCTTAGACCTCCGCCTACTTCGCGGATTTCATGTAGATGTGATTTCCTAGAAGGTGATATTAGATGCTAATCATCTCTTGCATCTGAAATGCCAATCGTAAGTAAAAAAAAATTAAGTGCTAAGGGCTTTGAAAAATTGAAATCAGTTTGCTGCAGGGTCATCAGAGGTAGAAATGAACAATGAACAGGGAGACAGAGGGCATTTCCCAGACAAGGTTTTCATCAGGGGCTTTTACTTCAGAGGAAAAAGGGAAAGAGCAAGGAGGCTTGGGAGGATGAGGGAGGGGCTGCTCTGTCGCTTCCTACCTTTTAAGTACACTACGGAGGTGAGGTGATGGCTCTTAGCAGACAATCTTGACAAGGCCAGTGCACTCAAGAAGGTACACAGAGGCCGTGACGACTGATGCCGCTAATCAACTTGACCACATCTAGAAGGAACTGAAACCCAAGCAGTGAATGGAACATGCCTGGGAGGGATCTTTATTTTTTCTTTTTTAATGGGATTATCAGAAGTCAGAAGACCCACCCTAAATCTGGGCCACACCTTCTGGTGGCAGCCCACATAAAAAGGACACGCGAGAAGGAAGCCTTTGATTTTTGCCTGCTTGCCTGCACTCTCACTGGAAACCTTCATCTCCCCTGTTCCTGGGACATTGCTTTGCTGGTGTTAGAACCTATTTCTTCAGGATTCCAACCCAGCTCTCTAGGACCTCCCTGGGACTCTAGCATCAAAAGCTGACGCTTTGGGTCTTGTGGACAACTACTGGATCCTTGCCTTTCCACCAGGAGACAGCCACTGCTGGACCGCTCAGACCACAGCCTGTAAGTCATTCTAATTTAACCCTTCCCCCCCCCCCTTTTTTTTTTTACCATGTGTAGCTGTTTTGGCCAGGATTCGGGATACAGTTACAGTTACCTTGTTTTTCCACTTCAGCTTCTAGAATGAGTGTGCTACAAAAGTAAAAGCAGAGTAACTAAAAATACAGACCCACGAGCTCTCTCTTGGCCCTGTTTGTACAGAAAGTAGATGCTCCCCATTGTCTGTCACAAGGAACGGAGTAAGATACACACAAAAAAGCCGCCATTCCTCAAAGCACACCACAGGGTGATCACGCTGCCCCCTTCTCCTTCCTGTAAGCTACACTCAGGATCACTGATGTCATTCCTTCTCCCTAGTGGAGAGTGAGCTGTCGCCTCCAGCCTCTGGGGATTTCTTCGATGGCTTGAAAAGGCCTAGGAGTGGCTCTCCCTGCACAGGCCCTTAGAGAAATCCTGAAACCATTATTTGTTCTTAATTCCCCAGTCCCTAGGATACACAATTTACAAACGTAAGGAAGTAGTTTTCTGAGAAACGGACCCCACTGGGGAGAAGGCGGGCCCACTGCGCAGGCGCCTCCGGACTCCTCAGCCTGGGTCACGTTTCCCAATTCCGTCTTCATTCACAGCTCTTGCCTCAAAAGCCAAGCCATGCCTAAGGAGCAGCAAGTCATGGGTCCGCTGAGGGGTCCCCACAGCTCAACTTCCGCACCAACCACCACGATCAACATGCCTGCTGAGATCTCCACGCCCGATCACGTGATCTGGTCCACATTCAATGCACTCTTCCTGAACTTCTGCTGCCTGGGTTTCATAGCATACGCCCACTCTGTGAAGGTATTGTATGCGGACCTCAAGCTTGACTTGTTCCGATGGTACCTGGGGTGTGTGTGTGTGATCTGTGTCGGTGTGTGAGTTTATATGTATCGTCGTGTGTGTGTGTGTGTGTGTGTGTGTGTGATCTTGTGTCGGTGTGAGAGTTTATATGTATCGTCGTGAGTGTGTGTGTGTTGGGGAATATCCATGTAGTCACAAGGGAGGTGCCTGGAGATCCTTGGGTCAGGTTATCTATTGTAGCCTAGCATCTAGAAATTTTTTCCTTACTTCCTGGTTCCTGGACTGTCCCTTCATCCTCAAGATTAGGACCCTAGGCTGGGTAGAAAGTGCACAAGGAAACTGTGGGGTGATGGCTAGTGCTGGGTCTCTCTAAAGAGTCTTGAGTGTGTGAAAGTGGAGCATGTTCCCTGGCCCGAAAAGTAAAGGGCGCTGCTAGGAAGATGATGGGGAAACTGAGTAAGAGCACTTGTTTCTCAGTTCTCCAGCTCCGGGGCCCCTGACTGACTGTCTGGTTTCCTCCAGTCCAGGGACAGGAAGATGGTGGGCGATGTGACTGGGGCTAAGGCCTACGCCTCCACTGCCAAGTGCCTGAACATCTGTGCCCTGATCTTCAGCAGCATCATGATCATTATCTTCATTGCTCTTTACGCCAGCAAACTTAGTTCTGGGGCCTACTAGTCCTGCCTTGGGCTCCACTGTCTACAGCTGCTCCACACCCTGGTCTTGGGCCTGACACTTTACCCCACACATCAGCAGCTGTTAGCTCGCATCTGTTCACAGTGGAGTCAATAAAGTGCACGTATTGACAACTATGCTGTGGCCCTCTGTTCCTGAATGAATCTTGAACTGAGTTCATCGTGTGTCTTTCCTGTCTGAGGCCAGCAGGGCATCCTCAGCTTGGCAGGTTTCTGGCCACCTGCAGTGGGCAATAGTTGACCAGACTTCTCGGGGTGTGTGTGAGTGTGTGTGTGCCCACGCGCGCGCGCAACTCTGCCCACTTCTGACTCCATGTTCCCAGAATACCCAGAAATGATACAGAACAATGATCTAGGGAGTGTCCAGTTCACTGATGTGTTACCCACTGAGGTGCCTATCCACCTTCTAGCCAGACAAACTGCATCTCAGGTTCTATAAGAACTGCAGAGCTGAGGCTCCGGGCTCCTCCTCTGAGCCCAGATGTAACGCATTGGGTTCTGTGAGGGAAGCTCATCGTCTCTTACCCTTCTCACTTCTGGCTTCCAGCAACAACACAAGTGCTTACTTCCGATTCCAGAGTGAGCTCTTTAGGATGAAGGCCAGGTTACCTGATTTGCTGAGCAGCAGGCAGAAAACCCAAAGGAAACTCTGCAAGCTTCTGGGAAGTTTGGATACCCTAGCTCCCCTAACCTGGGCTGTGCAGTAGTGTGCTTGTGCAGAGGGCCCTTCCACCCTCCCTCATGGCTCTTGCCACAGTCAGAAGCAGTTGTGATGGCAGCCACATCCACACTTGCACCTCAAGTTTGCAAGTCCCCAGAGCAGTCCTGCCGGTTCATCTCAGGTGGCCTTCTCAAGAGCACTTGCTTCCAGTCACCAAGGTTAGTCCCTTAGAGTCCACCCAGCCTCCAGCCCGTTCACACACACACACACACACACACACACACACACACACACACACCATGTCTGCAGAACTTGCTCCCACACCCAGGAATTCCTTCCCTCCTAAACCGCCATGGTGGGTTTGAATGTACCCGGAATTCTTAGAGTAGCACTTGGTGCCAAGGTGGGAAATGCTACAGTGGGCTCAGCCAGGGAGCAAGCCAGCTGTTGACCAAAAGGAGTGAGGGATGCTTGGGTACAGAGTGACAGAGACCCTTACTTGTCCAGGACCCAAAGTTCCACCCCTGATTAGCAGAGTAAATTCACCCAGCAGGAGAGTATAACCGCCCACGAGGGATCTAGGTACCCGGCCCTCCCTTGAGGCCCAGCAGAGCAAGAGGAAAAGCAGAGAGCAGGCTTCAGAAGTGTGGCCACTCACCACCCTCTGCACTTAAGAGCTCTGTTTCCTAGGCCAGGCATCCCCCAGTACTTTTTTATGCCCCAGAAATTTCCCGTTCCTGAATGTTGGCTTTATGGGAAATACCTAGGTACTGAGGGGAAGCAATTAAATAACTAAAGGTCGAATTCTGCCACAGTAGGAAGAGGAAAGGGTCTGCATTCCCTGGCATGGGGGCCCCTCAGGGCTGATGCTGGTTAACAGGCTCCACACAGCCATGCCCAGAGCACCCCTAAACCCGTACCCCCTGAGAGGCCCTCTCCTGGGCTGATCTGCCGCAAATATGAACTGAGGAGCTTCTGCTCCTTGTAAGTCAGGGAAAGGAGCTCAGGGTCCAGATGTTTCTGGTTGACTGAAGAGGGTCTATGCTGGGAAACTGGAAAATTCCAGTTACTTGGCTAAGCCTGAGAGTTCCTGGAAGGCAGATGTTGTCTTGACAGCTGTGAAACAAACATCATTGAAGTGAAGCCTGCAGATGTCTGTATGGGGAACTCTGCCCCATGGGACCAGTGAGAGCTGTCTTCAGACCAGCTGCAGAGATGCCTCCATGGTTAAGAGTGCTTGTTGCTCTTCCAAAAGACCCATGTTCAATTCCCAATCCTACATGGCAGCTAACAACCATCTGTAACTCCAGTTCTAGGGGATCCAACACCCTCTTCTGGCCTTCCTGGGCACCAAGCAGGCACATGGTACACAGACATATGGTACACAGACATACAGTGCACGCAAAACACCCATACATGTAAGATAAAAATAAATAAATCTAAATACTCTTTTTTAATTTTTTTTTTTTTGAGACAGGGTTTCTCTGTGTAGCTTCAGACCTGTCCTAGCATTCACTCTGTAGACCAGGCTGGCCTTGAACTCACAGAGATCTGCCTGCCTCTGCCTGCCAAGTGCTGGGATTAAAGGCATGTGCCCCACTGCCCAGCTAACTACTCATTTCTTAAAAGAATCAAAATAAGAAGCCAGGTGTGGTTGTGCATGCCTTTAATCCAGCTCTGGGAAGGCAGAAACAGATGGAAGTCTGAGTTCAAAGTCAGGCTGATCTACATGAAGAGTTCTGTGACAGCCAGGATTACATAGAGAAGCCCTGTTTCAAAGACAGAAAGGAAGGAAAGAAGGAAGGAAAAGAAAAGAAACAAGAAAGAAAAGAAAGGGAGATAAATTCTTTTGTGGTGAAGGGCACAACAAGTCATTTGCTAGTTTTACCAATTCAGTAACTTCACAAGGAGCTGACATTCCAAATTTCAGTGCATGGCAGGATGGATAGAGGATGAACAGACCCCTTGAAAGCTGGGGAGGGCTCTGCTCTGGCCCCCACCATCTTCACGAGGAAGGAGAATCAGAGGGTGCCATCCTAGTGAGATGGAAGCCCAGGAATAGGCCATTCTGGGGGTAGCAAAGTCCAAGGTTCTCCCCAGATGTCTTTCATTCTTGGAAAGTTGACTGGCAAGGGATCAAAAATCTAGAGAAAAGAGGTAACCACAGAACAGGCTGGGTGGCAAGAGCCCCAAGCATAAGCCAGTGGCTATATGCCTTCCACCGCCCCTTCCACCACCCTCACCAGACTCTACCAGTTGATGCTGTCCTGCTCTATCCTGCCCTGGCTCTGGCTACAGGACCAAGAGAGAATCCATAAATGTAAAGTAAGCAGAGGCTGGAAAGGACTTTCTGAGGAAGGCTCACCTTTCGAAGCAGGAGTTCACAGCAGGAGTAGAAGGGAAGTTGGCTTTTCCCGCCTCGGCCCTGAAGGCGCTGAATGAAAGCCTGACCCACCCACCCCGCCTATTCCCCACAGGGAGAGTGTACCTGACTTCCCTTCTGAGGCTGTGGCCTCAGTGTTGAACAAGGCTAGCTGAGACACACTTAGGAAACAAAGCCTAACTGACACAGTAAACAGGCAAGAAAGGGCAGAACAAAGCCCAAAGCACCTGCAATTAGAGTCGCTGTGAATTCCAGACACACCCCCACTGAAAGGTTTCTCCAGCCTCAGAGCACTGAACAGACCCAGAACAGGAACTGACAAAACCACAAAGAAACTCCACACACTGAATACAAATCACGCGAAGCTAGACAGAAACAATAAGAGAAAAAGCCACTAAAAGAAAAAGTAAGAATATAATAGAGCAGACCAAAATACACAGTAAAAAAAAAAAAAAAAAAAAAACTAGTTGACTTTGGATAAAATTATCTCCTATTTCGGGTAAAATAAGATGCATACACTAAATGCATGATATAAGTACTTAGGAGCATCATACCTGCCATAGAATGTTCTAGACCAAAGTGAGATTAACATCCAAAAAAGAAAATAGGCCAGGTGGTAGTGGGTCCCATTTTTAATCCCAGCAGAGGCAGGAAGATCTCTTGAGTTCAAGGCCAGCTTGGTCTACAGAGCGAGTTCCAGGGCAGGCTCCAAAGCTAAGAGAAACTCTGTCTCAATAAATAAATAAATAAGACAATAGTAAGTACATAAATAAAAAACATATAAATATCTATCAGTAGATTTCCATATGCCAGATGTTGCAGTAACAATCCAAAAACAAATGAAAATTTGAATTGCATGTAAACTGTTTATGACCCTGTAAACAGGATGAAGACAGAGCAAAATCACCCAATTAATATTGTTGGAATATAATAAACCAAAGCTGTGTGATATAACCTGTCAGCAGGCATCACCAGTACAGAAAGGTATGCACATGCGCACATGAGTGTATTTCCTTGTGTTGGTCAGTCTTCATAACAATACCTGGGAGACAATTAACTAATGAAGAAAATATCTTTTTTTTAATATTTATTTATTATGTATACAATATTCTGTCTGTATGTATGTCTGCAGGCCAGAAGAGGGCACCAGACCTCATTCCAGATGGTTGTGAGCCACCATGTGGTTGCTGAGAATTGAACTCAGGACCTTTGGAAGAGCAGGCAATGCTCTTAACCACTGAGCCATCTCTCCAGCCCCCTGAAGAAAATATCTTTAAGAGGTCCTGGAAGAAGAAGAAGAAGAAGAAGAAGAAGAAGAAGAAGAAGAAGAAGAAGAAGAAGGAGAAGGAGAAGGAGAAGGAGAAGGAGAAGGAGAAGGAGAAGGAGAAGGAGAAGGAGAAGGAGAAGGAGAAGGAGAAGGAGAAGGAGAAGAAGATAGTTTATTTTGGCTCAGGGTTCTGAAATTCCATCCAAGATTAGCAGTCCATTTGCTTTGGGATCTGGCTAGAAGGGTAAATCTATCTCAGGGAAGCACAGAACGATGCTGGCAACAGTCAGTGCTCCACAGTCCTCTCAGACCACGTCCCCAGCACTGCCCACTAGGACATGTGTCCCCTGATCCACCACCTCTCAAAAAGGTAAAGAACTTAAAAACCTACAGTGATTCCAACTCTGACAGTGACCCTCGGGGAGTCTGGGATCAGCAGCAGCCTGAGCAGTAATACATCCGATGGTCAATCTTCACTGCCAGCTTGTCTGAATTTGAACTCATCCATGGAACTCTGGGTGTATCTATGGGGTTCAATGGTTTAACAGAGAAGGGAAGATCCTCCTCAAGCGTGGGTGACACCACCCCACACGCTGGGGTCAGAGACTCTGAGCACCACCATTCGCTTCCTATTAGTAAAATCTGATCAGTTAGTTGCCTTGCCTTCCAGCTACTGCGTCTTCGCTACTGGGATGACGTGTGAGCCAAGTAAACCCTTTCTTCCTCAGGTCCCTGTTAGGTCCCAAGAAATTCCTCTTCCCAAAATCGAGCACTTAGACAAAAGCCAGCATTCCCTCGGGGACTTGTGAATTCGTTCTCACCTGCTAAATAGAGTCATTCTCCTGAGCTCTGGCAAAAAGA